AAAATGGATTAAAGATCTAAATGTAAGACCAGAAACTATAAAACTCCTAGAGGAGAACATAGGCAAAACACTCTCTGACATAAATCACAGCAGGATCCTCTATGACCCACCTCCCAGAATATTGGAAATAAAAGCAAAAATAAACAAATGGGATCTAATTAAAATTAAAAGTTTCTACACAACAAAGGAAACTATCAGTAAGGTGAAAAGACAAGCTTCAGAATGGGAGAAAATAACAGCAAATGAAGCAATGGACAAAGAATTAATCTCAAAAATATACAAGCAACTCCTGCAGCTCAATTCCAGAAAAATAAAAGACCCAATCAAAAAGTGGGCCAAAGAACTAAACAGACATTTCTCCAAAGACATACAGATGGCTAACAAACACATGAAAAGATGCTCAATATCACTCATTACCAGAGAAATGCAAATCAAAACCACAGTGAGGTACCATTACATGCCAGTCAGAATGGCTGCTATCCAAAAGTCTATAAGCAATAAATGCTGGAGAGGGTGTGGAGAAAAGGGAACCCTCTTACACTGTTGGTGGGAATGCAAACTAGTACAGCCAGTATGGAGAACAGTGTGGAGATTTCTTAAAAAACTGGAAATAGAACTGCCATATGACCCAGCAATCCCACTCCTGGGCATACACACTGAGGAAATCAGAATTGAAAGAGACATATGTATCACAATGTTCATCGCAGCACTGTTTATAATAGCCAGGGCATGGAAACAACCTACATGTCCATCAGCAGACGAATGGATAAGAAAGCTGTGGTACATATACACAATGAAATTATTACTCAGCATTTGAATAAGTTCTAATGAGATGGATGAAACTGGAGCCCATTATACAGAGTGAAGTAAGCCAGAAAGAAAAACACCAGTACAGTATACTAATGCATATATATGGAATTTAGAAAGATGGTAATGATAACCCTGTATGCAAGACAGCAAGAGAGACACGGATGTATTGAACAGTCTTTTGGACTCTGGGAGAGGGTGAGGGCGGGATGATATGGGAGAATGGCATTGAAACATGTAGGCTATCATATGTGAAAGGAATCACCAGTCCAGTTTCGATGCATGATGCAGGATGCTCAGAGCTGGTGCACTGGGATGACCCAGAGGGAGGGGATGGGGAGGGAGGTGGGAGGGGGGTTCAAGATGGGGAACACAGGAACACCCATGGCTGATTCATATCAATGTATGGCAAGACCAATACAATGTTGTAAAGTAAAATAAATTAATTAATTAATTTAAAAAAAAAAAGAATACTGGAGTGGGTTGCCACTTTCTGCCCTAGGGCATCTTCCCAACCAGGGAGCAAACCCAAGTCTCTTGCATCTCTTGCGTTGGCAGGTGGCTTCTTTACCACTAGCGCCTCCTGGGGTTGTAATAAGTCATAATAAAATAAACATCTCATTTCAGAAAAAAAAAAATCTCTAAAATGTATCCTAACACATTTTTTTTAGTCTTTTTTTCTTTTTCTTTCTTTTGTTCTTTCTTTCTTTTTTTTTTTTTTTTTGTGGCCATATTCTTCCTGGCAAAGCCCATGGACAGAAAATCCTGGCAGGCCACAGTCCATACAGTTGCAAAGAGTCAGACAGGACTGAAGCGACTTAGCACGTGGCAAGAAGATCTCAGCAGCACAAGATGTTCAGTAGTAATTTTAGTCCTGAACTTCCTTGAAAGAGATGATTTTTTCCTAACATAGCTAAAGAACAGCAGCTATCTACAAGGGATTAGAAACACCCGCAGGAACTGCAAGTTCAACCCAATGTTACAATAGGTGGCTTGTTAACTGAAGACACCAATTCTTAACTGGATAACAGTTTTTTTATACTCTAAATGTATAAACTCTTCTTAAATTAACCTCAATGGGAATCTTAATGAAAATAATAGTTTTGAACATATTTTAAAGTTATTTTAACAATTTTAAATTAACTTTAAAGAGTTTTATCTTATCTATAATTAATTTATTAAGTTTTAATAATTTTGAAATAGAAATATACAGGCTTAGGCAAAATTCTGAGAAAGAATACTCATAAGGGACTGGTAGATTCTTCACATGTCAAAATATCTTAGATATCATAGCAATTATGTGCCAATGTGTACATGAATAAAGAGATCAGTGAAAAAGATTAAAGTTTTGAATTGGACCCAAATACATTGGGAGTTCAAAATACAATAGTCAGAATTTCACATCAATGGCAAAAAGATAAATATGTGAATATTTTTTAAAATTCTAAAAATTTACAGAACAAATAAAATCAACCCCTATTTAAACTCCCAAATAAATTCAAGATGAATCAAATGTTATAAGATGTAAGATATGAAAAATGCTTGAAAAATTAAATGCAAAAAAAAAATTGAAGAACTTTTGGCACAAATGAAATGAGAAAATTCTTCCTAAGCAAGATACAATTTTTTTAATTTAACATAAACTACAAAAAAATTACATGCAAAAATAATTCTACATAGGAAAAAAGTTAAAAACATATAGCCAGAAAATATTAACTATATATACAATGTAAAGAGATTATTTCTTTTGCTTAAAATTCTCTCATAAAAATCAAAAACTGAATGAATCAGATTAAAGACATATATATAAAATCCACAAATAAAGTGAAAATGAAGCCGCTCAGTTGTGTCCGACTCTTTGAGACCCCGTGGACTGTAGCCCGCCAGGCTCCTCTGTCCGTGGGGTTCTCCAGCCAAGAATACTAGAGGGGGTTGCCATTTCCTTCTCCACAAATAAATACAAATCAAAATTAAACATGTAGGAAGATGCTCAAACTCAATTATGTCAAAATGTTTGCAGTTAAAGTAAAAAATAACTTTAATCAGACGTGATAAATATATTTATCAGGCACTGGTCATTGAGAATGTGGTCAAAAAAATTCACATGGACTATGGACAGGGCATTAGTTGTTAGTGGGGCTTTCTTGATGGCTTGGTGAGACACAGGGAGATGCAGGTTCGATTCCTGAGTCAAGAAGATCCCCTGGAGGAGGAAATGGCAACCCGTTCCAGTATTCTTGCCTGAAAAATCCCAAGAACAGAGAAGCCTGGCAGGCTACAGCCCATGGAGTTGCAAAGAGTCGGACACAGCTGAGCAGCTAGCACAGACACAGTAGCTGTTAGTACAACCTCAAGAGCAACAGTTTGGAGGGAAGTAAGTCCGAAAGAGAAAACAAATATAGTGTATCAACGTATCTGTATGGGATCTAGTAAAATGGTGTTGATGGACCTATTTGCAGGAAAGAAATGGAGACGCAGAAATAGAGACGGGACTCGTGGACACAGAAGCGGGAGGAAAGAGTGGGGAAAACAGAGAAAGTAGCATCGACATAGATCCACTAGCTTGTGTAAAACAGGTAACTGTGAGAAGTTGCTATATAACGCAGGGAGCCCAGCTTGGCAGTCTGTGGTGATCTGCAGGAGTGGAGTCGGGGGAGGAGAGGGATGCTGAAGACGGAGGTGGTGCTGGTTTAGTCGCTCAGTCGTGTCCGACTCTTGCGACCCCATGGTCTGTAGCCGTCAGGCTCCTCTGTCCATGGGGCTCTCCAGGCAAGAATTCAGGAGTGGGTTGCCATTTCCTTCTCCAGGGGATCTTCCCAACCCAGGAAAAACCCGGGTCTCCGGCATTGCAGGCAGATTCTTTACTGACTGAGCTAAGAGGCAAGGTTACATATGTATAATCATGACTGATTTGGGCTGTTGTATGGCAGAAACCAACAAAACATTGTACAGCAATTTCCTCCAATTAAAAATTAATTTTTAAAAAGAGAATGATAGTTCAGCAACAAATATCAATATCCGCATTTTAAATGCATTTACTACTTGACTATTGAATCAAATGTAATATCAGCAATTCTACACCTAGGAACTTATATTTGCACATATTCAAAAACATACACTTATTGAAAATATAACTGTTATAGAAAAGTTTGGGAATCTCATGAAAGAAATAGATTAATTTTTATATAAATTTATGAAGAGTGTTTTGCAAAATGAGAAAATTTACAAAATATATATGGGCTGGTATGGAAATATCTTTAAGATATTGCAAAGCCAAAGCAAGTGATACATATACAGAAAGAAACAAATACATACACATATAGAAAATACACCTGAATCTGCAAAGATTATTACTAGATGAAAATTAAGAAACAAATGTAGGGTCAACCTCTGAGAATGAGGACTGGAAGAAGCTGAGAGAAAAATAGAAAATTCATTTTACATTTCACCTCATATTGTTTGAATTTCCTTGTGGCTCAGGTGGTAAAGAAACTGCCTGCAATGTGGGAGACCCAGGTCCCATCCCTGGGTTGGGAAGATCCCCTGGAAAAGGGAATGGCAATCCACTCCAGTATTCTTGCCTATAGAATTCAATGGACAGAAAAGCCTGGTGGACTAGAGTCCATGGGGCTGCACAGAGTCAGATTATACTGAGCGACTATACTTTCGTAGCATTCAGTTTTCACTTATACTATTTATTATTATCTATTTTATTCCAGTTTCATTGTAAGCACTAAAAGAGTAAAAGTAAAACTGTTGTATAATGTGATGAAATACAGTAAAGGCAAGCCATATATAATTATGTATTTTAAGCTGTATAAGTAAAAATGTTAACTTAAAAGACAAGATACTAAATAAAAATTACACTGTCTCTGAAAAAGAATAAAAAATATAAATTCATAAGTTTGTGAAAAATCAATATAACTATATAACAACTAACTCACTAATTCATTACATATTAATTTCTTGCTATATAGGCATGACACCATTCTAGGTACACTGATAAACAAAATAATTAATTCTAGTAGGTAGGTAAACTGTTATTATACCCTTTTTGTATAATTTCAATCTTAATTATAATTACCATAAACTCTTTGAAGAAAGAGAAGTCAAAACAAATTTTAAAATGACTTCTGCATTCTAAGAAAATGAACCTTGATGTTAAATGACTTCCTTCATGATGGATGATGCATTTATTTAATATGGGATATGATGCTTCTTTTCCAGAGCTTCTTCATAGCATAAGTTAACTCAGAATTTCTCAGACTGTAGATTAGTGGGTTCAGCATGGGGGTTATAACTGTATAGAACACACTCAATGATTTATCAATGTAGAAGGTCTTAGCAGGTCTTACATATATGAAAATACAGGGAACAAAAAAGCAGACAACCACAGTGATGTGGGAACCACAGGTCTGGAGGGCTTTCCGCCTCCCTTCCTGACTCAGGTTCTTCAGAGAGTGCAGGATGACTCCGTAGGAGACAAGTAAGAGCAGAAACACAACAGTGCAAATCAGTCCTCCATTGACCACAACTAAGACGCCAATGACATAGGTGTCAGTACAGACGAGTTTCAATAAAGGGTACATGTCACAGAGAAAGTGATCAATGACATTGGGACCACAGAAAGGGAGCCCATAAATAGTACTAAGTTGAATTACTGAGTGCAAGAAACCTCCAACCCAGGACACCACCAGCAGTAAAACACACACCCTCTGCCTCATGATCACCAAATAATGCAAGGGCTTACAGATGGCCACATAGCGGTCATAGGCCATCACCAGCAGAAGGAAGACCCCTGATCCAGAAAAAAGGTGCTCTGTAAACAACTGAGCCATACAAGATTTAAAGGTTATGGTTTTTTCTCCAAAGAACAAGTCTGAGATCAATCTGGGGGTGATAGAAGAGGAATAAGCAATATCCATAAATGATAAGCAAGCAAGAAAAAAGTACATTGGTGAGTTCAGGGTCTTACTGACAGTTATAGTGACTATAATTAGAAAATTGCCCACCACGGTCAAAATATAGACAAACAGGCACATAAACAAAAGTACTTTCCCCTCCTTTGGAGTCTGTGCCAGTCCCAGGAGAACAAAGTAGGTTACATTGTTTCTTGATTCCATCTAATCTGGACAGGAGCTGACTTCATACAGAAGAAGCAACTTACCTACAAGACAAGGAGGGAAAGTTGTAGGGGGAGAATGCCCAAATGTATGAGAAATTTTTTTCCATTTGTTGGAAGAATGAGTATAGAACAACTATTTGTGTCCAACGTGGCATGGACATTTTCATTATCAAGTTGAAGAAGGCAGAGTTTCTTTCCCTCAGTGCTATGACACGTAACGAGAAATCAACCAACTCCAGACCCATGCTATCAGTGCCATTAAATGAATATCCAGTGCTGAGTCATAGTATAGGAGTATATCAAATAAGTACGACAGAAGACTTTCCAGAGGAAGCAAAGCTTCAGCTGAGTGTAAAAAAGAATTGAATGAATAAAAAAAAATAAGAAAGAAAAATCCAAAAAGTCCAATATTTATAAAGCCACAAAAGTCTAATACTTGAGGCCCACTTGAGGTAATTTTCATAATCAATGTGGGTAGATCAAACTGTGAATGGAAGTTCCCTGTCCTAAAATGTCTCAGACCTCACTGATACTTCCTTGGTTTTTAGATGGATATTTCCCTTTTCCTAACAATTAAATGCTATAGCAGTAATTTTATGTCCCCGGTCCCTAGCTTTCCTCTTAATTTGCAAACTTGGATATGCAACATCTCTAGTTTTGACATCCAAATGAATGACAATTTAGTATTTAAAAAGTTTTTAAATGTCCATAATAAACATAAGCATTTTCCATACAAAACTTAAAGCGGTGTTCCCTATTTATCTCATTAAATGCTGTCTTTTACCATGTTCTTTTTAGGACAAAAAATTGCTGTACTCATCATTCCTTTGTTAGTCTCATAAAACTTTATTAAATCCTATTCACCCTACTATGAAAATATATCACAAATTTGATCATTCTCTACTTCTTAATTTCTTCCTGGTCCACTGCAATAGGCTCCTATCAAGTCTCTCCATGTTTATTCTAGCCTCCAAGAATCGGTTCTCCTGAAGCAGCCCAAATGTCATCACTCTACTGCTCGAAAATCCTAGAGTATATTCTAATCATACACTCACAGTTTACTGTTTAATATTGACAGTAACAAGAACTGTAATCCTCATTTTACAATTGAAGAAACTAATGCTAGAAGATCTCATCCATTTTCCCAAAATCATACATTTCTAAGGGACATACCTCGAACTGAATCTAAGTTTGATTGATTTCAAAGTAATTAAATTTCTTACATAATAAAGACAGCCCCTAATTATGAGCCTGGTTCCCACTATTTACTGCTAATCTTACCGTGTGGGGACTTGTTCAGAATCTAAGGGTGACTTTAAGTTACACATAAACACTTGAAATTATTTTTCATCCAATTTGACAACAGAGGAAAAAAGGCCACTTTATTACTTGAGGGTGTATTTTATTTCATTTGACTATCTGTCCATTTCCTCCACAGAGTCTTCTGATTATTCAGAGGCACATTTTTATGTGCTGTGTTGATTTTTCCAAAGGAATTCCATGGGGCACACCTAGAAAAACAAAAGTTTACCACATTAGGAAATTTATCAAAATGACCAGCAAATCTTACATATACATAGAATAAATCAACTAGTTATTTGGCAGGGAAGTTTTTCACAAGTAACGTCTTTCCTACTAACTTCAACAAGAAAAATAACATTTGACTATTTAGCCCTTTTCATTCTGTCATATTAACATGACCAGACTCGTTGACTGAGATTTTGAAAGACGTTCTCATATATATACATATATATACATTGTCATGCTTTAACTCTATAAAAGGACCACCTGAAAAATTGATTCCAGTTATTAAGTGGATAACATCTTCTTCCTGTTGGGGGGAAGATCACAGGATATTTCACCCCTTTCAGCCGCAATTATCATTGAGCCTTAGAATTGGAATGTGTCCAAAATTGATTCTTGTTTAATTAATTCACTGGGATTTCACTCAGAGTTTTAAAAATAAAAATCTATATGTAAATATATTAATAGGCAAAGTCACATAAATAATATCAGAAAAATGCAATACCCAAAACAAGGCAGCTTTAGAATCTTTATGAGGCTAAAGTCAATTAAAAATAATCAAAAATTTTGTTCCAGTGAACTTATTTGTTGTTTCTTTCCCCACCTGCCATCACAAGATTTTCTTTCCTTTTGTTCAGTACTCAATTTGATCACCTTCATTTGGTTAGATATATGAACATTATATCAAAAAGCACAATTAAATGTATTAAAATTTTAGATATAATAGCTAATTATTTTCCAATTACTATCATTTTTTTAAAAGTCAAAGCACCTCTGTCATATCAGCAACTGTCCTATGAGTAAGGACACAGAGATAATGAAACCTGGGGGAAAATCATGTCAAAGGTTTTTCCCTGCATGGATCTTCTTTCGTAGAGTCAGACAATAAAGAATGAGACAACTGAACAAAGTAGCTTCAGTCTAATTCACTGCTTATAAGAAATAGAATACTGTGACAAAAGACAAGAGGTAGAGCTCTACTGCGGAAAATGTAGAGATGACCTTTCTTCAAAGGTGATGTTTAAGCTGAAACTGAAAGGATAGCAAGTGGCTACCATCAGAAGCACTGTTACAGAAACTGAAACTAAATACAATTAATGAATAAAGCTCTCACTTCAGAGAAAACAGGAGTTATACTTAGAAAACCCTAAAATTTTCACAGGAATTTTTATAGCAGTACTATGTTAAGAAGGACCAGAGAATATATGCCCCCTTGTCTTATTCCAGATTTTAATGGAAAAGCTTTCAACCTTTCATGTAGAGGAAGGTATTAGCTGTGGATCTGTCATATATGGACTTTACTATGTCAAGGTACTTTCTATGTCCAACTTGTTGAGAGATTTCTATGAAATGAAAATTGAATTTCTATCTGATCATGGACAACTCAAGGAGATTTTAAGAAAATAATTCCACTTACAGAAGTATCAAAAAAGAATAAAATAAAGTCTTACACTCTGAAAACTACAAAATGTTGCTGAGAGATATATAGAACACACACACATATACAGGAAGACATTTATAAGCTGGACTATTCAACAGTTCAGTTCAGTTCAGTTGCTCAGACGTGTCCAACTCTTTGCGACCCCATGAACCACAGCATGCCAGGCCACCCTGTCCATTACCAACTGCCGGAGTCTACCCAAAACCATGTCCATTACGTTGGTGATGCCATCCAACCTCCTCATCTTCTGCCGTCCCTTCTCCTCCTGCCCTCAATCTTTCCCAGGAGCAGGGTCTTCTCAAATGAGTCAGCTTTTCACATCAGGTGGCCAAAGTATTGGAGTTTCAGCTTCAACATCAGTCCTTCCAATGAACACCCAGGACTGATCTCCTTTAGAATGGACTGGTTGGATCTCCTTGCAGTCCAAGAGACTCTCAAGAGTCTTCTCCAACACCACAGTTCAACAGCATCAATTCTTCGGTGCTCAGCTTTCTTTATAGTCCAATGTTCACATCCATACATGACTACTGGAAAAACGATAGCCTTGACTAGACAGACCTTTGTGGACAAAGTAATGTCTCTGCTTTTTAATGTGCTGTCTAGGTTGGTCATAACTTTCCTTCCAAGGAGTAAGCGTCTTTTAATTTCATGGCTGCAGTCACCATCTACAGTGATTTTGGAGCCCAGAAAAATAAAGTCAGCCACTAGTTCCACTGTTTCCCCATCTATTTGCCATGAAGTGATGGGATCAGATGCCATGATCTTAGTTTTCTGAATGTTGAGCTTTAAGCCAACTTTTTCACTCTCCTCTTTCACTTTCATCAAGAGGCTCTTTAGTTCTTCTTCACTTTTTGCCATAAGCGTGGTGTCATCTGCATATCTGAGGTTATTGATATTTCTCCCAGCAATCTTGATTCCAGCTTGTGCTTCCTCCAGCCCAGCGTTTCTCATGATGTACTCTGCATAGAAGTTAAATAAGCAGGGTGACAATATACAGCCTTGACGTACTCCTTTTCCTATTTGGAACCAGTCTGTTTTTCCATGTCCGGTTCTAACTGTTGCTTCCTGACCTGCATACAGGTTTCTCAAGAGGTAGGTCAGGTGGTCTGGTATTCCCATCTCTTTAGAATTTTCCACAGTTTATTGTGATCCACACAGTCAAAGGCCTTGGCATAGTCAATAAAGTAGAAATAGATGGTTTTCTGAAACGCTTTTGCTTTTTTGATGATCCAGTGGATGTTGGCAATTTGATCTCTGGTTCCTCTGCTTTTTCTAAAATCAGCTTGAACATCTGGAAGTTCACAGTTCACGTATCGCTAAAGCCTGGCTTGGAGTATTTTGAGCATTACTTAATTATACCTCATGATTCAGTGCAATTCCTATCATAGCCACAAAATCATTTTTTGCAGAAACAGAAAAAATCCATGCTAAAATTCATATGGAATCTCAAGGACTCCAAATTATCAAATCAATCTAGAAAAGAAGAAAGTTGGGAGTCTCATACCTCCTGATTACAAAATATACTGTGCAAATCTATGGTAATCACAACCCCAATAAAGATGGACGTCCAATAAAGATGGACGATGGACTAATGGGGTAAAACAGATAGCCTAGAAATAAATCTTCCTATGTGTGTTTAGGTAATTTTCAACAAGGGTCCCAAGCATTTTATGGGGAAAAGAAATGATAATAAAGGATTAAAAGGCAATCACCAAAAAACAAAAATGTTATGATTCCACTTACATGAGGCACTTAGTCAAATTCATAGGCAGAAAATAGAATGGTGGTTTCCCTGCCCAG